TTGGTTCGTCTCTAATATATGGGACTCATACGTAACATATATAGTAAAAATTAGGTGTAACATTGTACAGTGGCATTAAGAGCCGCAATTTGCACCTCTGCTATCTTCTCGGGGATAAAAGGCGTGGCTATATGGCAATAGGATCACCCTATTGCCGGGCACATTTCCAGACTCCGTGCTACAACTGACAATTTTTTTTAAAACCTAGTAATACGTTGCCCGACCAGGGAATCCAACCTGAACTCCTTGTCCGATAATCGCATTTGCGACCACTCGCCCAACAAGGCAGTCAAGGCTTTTTAATAGTGAACATTTTTTTCAAATCAATTAACTCGTCGAGTACCGGTTTTGTAGACACAATTATAGAACAATAGGTTGCGGTCACCGGTGACCGCTTGGTGTATGACAGTTTAAGTAGTTTTGAAGACATACATTGATTCTTGTTTGTATATTTTGAATTAATCAAGTACCTATCATCTTGTATTTATGTTTTGTAGCGTTGTTTTGATTTCACTGCATCGCATGCATTCTTAACATTCAAGCTGTTTGTTATATAGCTTCACGCATCCATGTTGTGTTGCCATCAACTGAATGACGATATCAGCTTATTGCGGGGTGTAAAATTTATTTGATTACAAAGTGTGTGGTTTCACTAGCAAACAAATCTTATTGTTAGGACTTAAAATTTGCAAAGATACTTTTGCAATGTACCTTTATGTAAATTTGGTAATGGTCGATAATAACTAATCCTCTTTAATATTTTATTAACTTAACATCTGTTATCTACTTTCTATAATTTTGCACCTACCGCTTTAACATTCTGCACCAATGGTCCGATCATTGGGTGGTGCAGAATGTTAAATAGTCGACTATCAGAGAATAAGTCCGCCAATTTCACAGTGTATGTGCAACAAAGTTTAATAAATGAAATAAATAATTAATCATATACTTACTAATTATTATAAATGCGAACGGTTGTATATTTGTTCCTCTTTCACGTCACTATGGTTGAAGGGATCGGAATGCAAATTGGGACAGGGGGAGATTATGGTCTGAAATTTATTTATTTACTACCTACTTCTGCGCGGTTTCACTCGGTCTGCTCGGCACCTATTAATCGTAGCGTCATATTTTATAGTCTATAGCCTTCTTCGATAAATGGGCTATCCAACACAGAAAGACTTTTTCAAATCGGACCAGTAGTTTTGGAGATTAGCGCGTTCAAACAAACAACCAACAAAAAAACAAACTCTTCAGCTTTATATAGGTAAATCTATTATTATAGATTTATTTAACCCGTGCACTTACTGGCTTACAGTGGGTACCGAAACGCCAGTAAGCTAGTTACTTAAATTAAATATAAAAGCACACCGTATAATATAAGAACAATACAATCATAAAATAAGAAAAAATAGCACATAGGCTACTTTTTATCTTAGGAGAACGCGGATGAAAGCGCTGGCAGAAGCTAGTGGTCAATATAACTAAGTCTTCAACGATGACAGCAGTTTTTCCTAGAACCAATAAAAAAGAAATTGTCTATTGACTAACAAACTGAGTAATGTTCTAGAGAAAGTTTTACTTACATAATATCACGCTTTTTATCCCCGAAGGGGTAGGCAGAGTTGCACATCACTTAATACCATACTGTACCGTGAAACACCCACTTTTCACACTATTTGTGTTATGAGTTCCATGTTATAGGGGGTGAACATATTGCCATATACCGGGCACAATTCCAGACTCCGTGCTACCACTTAGAATTTTTTAAAGCCAGTAATATTTGTCCGACCCGGGTATCTTGCCCGAGGCTCCTTGCACGGCAGTCGCACTTGCGACCACTCGGTCAACGAGGCAGTCCTTACTTAGTTTACTTATATATAAATTGCAGGGACTAATTGTTTTCAAATTAATTTTAATGATTTTAGGCAGCAGCGTAATGTACAGAGCTTTTGTTTGTGGAAAGGCACTATGAAATAATTACTTTAAAATTAATTTATTGGTTCCAATGGCAATCAGGAACCAACTTCCGTACCTCGTTGAGAGTCAGTTAGCCAGCGGAATGTCATTATAACTATATTTTATTGCATAGTTGTGCATTAACAAAACCATAGTCGAACTAGATGCTATGCCCTATTAATGTAGAATCCAGTTTTTTAATAGAGGCCTTTCGTAATATAGCTACATATTAGTTAAAAATCGCACAACTTTAAGAGGTACGTTATTGATAATTTTTGTTATATTAAATGCTATTGAAATTGTTATTTGCTCGGTCTGATGTAAGTAATACTTTGCCCGACCCTGCAATCGAACCCAAGACCGGGTAAGGGGTCAGTCGCACTTGCGACCACTCGGCCAACGAGGCAGTTGAAATAGGTATATCTAAGTATCGAAAAATGGGCCCCCTTAAAGTTTAATTACTACCATCACTACCATGTATCTCTATCTCGTTCTGGATTATAAATTCATTGCATATCATGTGTGCACAATATGCACAATTGCACATACTTGTGGAAGCATGGTCTCCCATTTACTCGTTTATGTTGTTACTCTATTGTGTATCACGCTGATTTTCTGTTTCCGTGTACCTATGAAATAAATAAATAAATAAAATAATAGGTAACACTAAGATTTCATTTTATAATCAACAATCTGTAAGAGTTTATTACCGACTATGGGATTTCTCTATAAAAGATCGTTATGCCATGATCTCCACACTTGGTGGACGGGTTGGAGATCCCAGTTTAAAATATTGAGGTGTTTAGGAGAACGCTGATCAATATAAAAATCTTAAGAATATATGGCTAAAACTATAGCAAATACTTACTTAATATTATAAATTGGAAAGTGAGTTTGTTTGTTTGTTTGTTCCGCTTTCACGCCGTAACTACTAAACCGATTGCTTTGAATTTTTGCAGACGTAAAGTTAGAAGTCTGGATTAAATAATAGGGTACTTTTTATCCCGGAAAAAATTGATATTCCCGAGGGAAAACAAAAGTATTGGTATATGTCACATATGCTACTTTTTATCCTTTTGTGACGCGAGCGAAGCCGCGGGTAAAAGCTAGTAAAATATACCTCTAAACTTGAATCAATCTCTTTCGTCCACAGTCCAAACACCGCTAACACAGCCCCATATAGTCACGCGCAGTCCCCTAAACGTCACGAAATCATTTCTTGACCCCATAAAATTTTACACCCGTGACGTCACTGTTCACTAAGCGACTTCCCGATCAATTTGCGACTAATATATTTCACATAGATATCGATTTTAATGCCTCCAAGGTAAACATGCGTAGCGGGCGGCCCCTGTGATGTCAACAAAGGAGACCGACAAAGGTGCCGAACATTGGGTCCTATTCTATAGTTAGAATTAACTTTACTGCACCGAGAATTTACTTACAGCATAGAAATTTGTTAATTGTTTAATTAGTGTTTGCAGTTTCAGAGAACTGTAAAGTAAATGAGTGTTGTGTTTGAGTTTTGTGTTAAAATTGTTGTGTAATTAAGAATAATTGTTGAGTTATATTGTAGATAATATAAATGTCATTTTGTAAAGTAATTTTAAACGTATTGTATGCTACGTTTTATAATAACTATCGTGAAACATGCTGAAGTAACTTAAAATTATAAGTCACTTGCGGAAACATACTGATTATTGTATGCTATTAAATGTACCTAATTATTATTTCAGGTAGTTTTCAGTTTTTAAAGTCATAG